GGTTAGGTTAGTTAGGTAGGTTAGGTTAGGTTAGGTTAGGTTAGGTTAGGTTAGGTTAGGTAAGTTAGGTTTTGGTTAGGTTAGGTTAGGTTAGAGTTAGGTTGGGTTGCGTTAGGTTAGGTTTAGGTTAGGTAGGTTAGGTATTTTGGTTAGGTAAGGTTAGGTTAGGTTAGGTTAGGTTAGGTATTAGGGGTTGGTTAGGTTAGGTTAGTTAGGTTAGTTGGGTTGCGTTAGGTTAGGTTAGGTTAGGTATGGTTAGTTAGTTTTAGGTTAGGTTAGGTTTAGGTTGGGTTGGGTTAGGTTAGGTAAGTTCGTCAGGTAACAGGATAGGTGTTTAACGTGGGTCTTAGTCTATGAGACCCACGCTGGAGCTTTGGGTATGACAGAAGCCTTCACTGGCTTTGATTGTAACATTTGTATATACCTCTATCTTTTACTAACATTTTATGGATTTAATTCCCCGATTTAATTTTTTTTTACGAAATTCTTTTTTTTATCGAGGAAAAACAGAACAATAGAAATCCAGTATACAATCATTTATTGACAACGTTTCGCCCATATAGTGGGTTTTATCAAGTCGCAAATATGATAGTAAAATATATGCCTACTTTTCGACCTGACTACATTCGTTTTCATCTCAAAATTCGAAAATAGAAACAGGGCGGCCTTTCGGTTCATTTTGAGGCATCATCAGAGGGCTAGCCAGCCAGGATAACCCAAGAAAGTCAGTGCGTCATTGACGTCTGTTTATCTTATTGCCATTGTGGTCCTTCAATCTTGTCCCCCAGGATGCCACCCACACCAGTCGACTAACACCCAGGTACCTATTTACTGCTGGGTGAACGGGGACAGCAGGTGTAAGGAAGCACGCCCAGTGTTTCCACCCGGCCGGGGATTGAACCAGGAACGCTGTGTGTGAGGCGAGAGCCTTGCCTACCAGACCACGGGACACATCGAGAGTATATCAAAAGTTGTGGACTAGTTGTGAATTGTTTAGTTCTTTCCGAAACGTGTGATTGTTTGCAATTGATCTGAGTGCTAGGATAGACAGGTACTGTGAGTAGGACAATTAGTCAACACTTAGGGACTAAATACCTTAATTCAACTCTTCACTTCTTCACTTCTACCGTCTCCAGTATTTTAATTACCCTGTATCCAACTGAAGAAGCCTACTGTGCAGGCGAAGCCTTTCAGTAATAAAGACAACCATGTAATGCAAATACATATATCTTATATATTAACATGTAATCAACGTGTATATGCTTTTGTTTATTTTTAAGTAAAGCGTTCGATCCTTCTCTTAAGCATATTTTTATGTTTTTATGTTGGCAGTTGTGGAGGGTCGCATTTGGGCGGCCGTCGATAACACTGATATGACTTCCCTTAATACGCCTCAGCTAGCCGCCTACACCTGGCACCACCTCTGTCTTTCCCACAATGGCAACAGTGTTCAACTCTTCTTCAACGATTCCTACTTCGAGATGCCCCTGGTTGAGGCTCTGTCGTTCTCCGTTGAGCAGCGGGCTGCAGAAGATGTGATGCTGCAGCTGGGAGACGGTATTAACCAGTTCTCTGGCCAACTAGCAGATATTCGTCTCTTTAAGAGGATCTTGAGTACTGAGGAGTTGCTGAAATTGTCGAGTTGTAGTCGTGGTCCCATGGATCACCTAGCAAGCTATGATGAGACTGTCATAGGTGAGGTACATAACACATCCCAGCCTCTGGGTGACATGTGCCAGCCTCCACCCAGAGAATTCTTAGCCTTGTTTAACATTAATGTAGACCAAAATAGTTCCAGGAGGTTCTGCCAGTCCCTAAACGGTAGGCTAATCAACAGCAGTGACGATTTGTCCGCTGTCAGTAGAGATATTTCCGAAAGTCAGGACGTGAGTGATGAGGTCAGGATGGTGTGGACAGAGGAAGCAAATGATGAACACGGTGAAGCTGTCTGCCTCGTCAAAAGAACCTCCGGTGACTTCCTCAGAAAGGTACTGCGTAATCCCTCAACCGTGTTCACAATCACAGCTTGCATACTGCCCATTGGTAAAAAAATCTATTGGAAGAGGAACGAGGTTAAAGAGTTCTCCCTCTTTTCTCAACGAGGTCAACTAATCCTACAGTCAAACACTAGCGAGGTGATCTATAAGTCTAGATGTCCAATTAATGAAGACGATTGCCTTGTGCTGAATCGTAAAGGAAGTCTTAAGGCATATTCTGTTCTCTCAGATGGCCACTCAATACTTGGAAGAAAGTTGTGGGTAAAATACAAGACAAAGGAAAAATATCAAGCGACGCTTTCTGTGTGTGGGACGGACTGCTTTACGTGTAACGATGGAAGTTGCATCGAACTGTACATGAGGTGTGACGGTAGACCTCAGTGTCTCGACCAGTCTGACGAAGGGGCCATCTGTGCTCCTATAGACGAGCGTCACTCCTCACACTGGCAGAAGACCTGCCCGGTATTCAGACCTGAAATTGAATTGTCCTTCAAGCTAGATGGAATCAACGAAATCCTTCTGGAGAGGAACGAATTCACTGCTACCCTCTCAGTAACGATTTCCTGGAGCGATCATAGACTCACCTTCGCAGATCTTAACAGTCACATCAAAACCATTGATTCCAAGAGTGTGAGTAATATCTGGGTGCCAAGCTTGGAGTACGTCAACGCTAAATACGAGGATAACCTCCACGTAATGAAGAAAAGCGGAGTCTTGGAGTTATACACAGTGTTTGCCATGGGTCAAGGCACCTCCCAGGTAATCGACAGTTATGAAGGTAACTATACAATGAAATTTCAGAATGGAATTTGGCAAATTTATGAATGAAAAGGGCTGGGTTTGACTAGTACCTGAGATAATGAAGCAAATTTCTTTGGTACCTTTGGAGAAAGGTTGGACATATAGGTGGGTGAGAATGATTAGTTTTGAGAAATACTGGCCTTGAATAGGCCAATAGGCCTACAGCAGAGTTTCTCCATTCTTACGTTTTTTTCCAGAATTGGATATATAAGCAGTGTGATGTTAAATCCTTAAGAGGGGATAATGTCTTGGTACTAATAAAGGTGTCCTGATCCAAGGAATTGGAACTGCTCTCCGCTTGCACGAAACGCATTCCCTTGGTGATGTATGACCCCCCATACGGGCTTATCGCTTCCCCCTGAATATAATAATAATAGCTGGGAGGGTCACTAAGTCAAGATCACATAAAGGCGAGAGGTTCAATTTCTCGAAATTAATTTTTAGTAACTCTTATCTTATCATTTTTCTCATAACCTGAAGCAAAAAATTCGAAAACGTCAAAAGGTATTTTAGTTGCAATATAATTCATTGTTCTCCATATACAGTTCACGAATACGAAAAAAAAATTCACGATTATGAAGATTTCTTACCAGGTGTTTCACATTGTTTCAAAAGTTATTGTACACGAAGGTGGAAATATTTATTCATTTATTTATTTATTTATTTATTTATTTATATATTTATAAGCCCAATTAACCATGTTTAGTTAATTCAATATCTTTGTTATGCACCCCACACCCATCCTGTGGGCGGTAGTCGAAAGATTACAGAGGTACGTAATGGGTCCAGGGACTCTGCCACAAAGTTATGATAGCTGAACAAGTTACGAAGGTAATGAACTCCTGGTAGATCTGGTCACAATCATGGCCATGTTACGAAGGTAATGAATTCCAGGTAGATCTGGTCACAATCATGACCATGTTACGAAGGTAATGAATTCCAGGTAGATCTGGTCACAATCATGGCCATGTTACGAAGGTAATGAATTCCAGGTAGATCTGGTCACAATCATGACCATGTTACAAAGGTAATGAACTCCAGGTAGATCTGGTCACAATCATGACCATGTTACAAAGGTAATGAACTCCAGGTAGATCTGGTCACAATCATGACCATGTTACAAAGGTAATGAACTCCAGGTAGATCTGGTCACAATCAAGACCATGTTACGAAGGTAATGAATTCCAGGTAGATCTGGTCACAATCATGGCCATGTTACGAAGGTAATGAATTCCAGGTAGATCTGGTCACAATCATGGCCATGTTACGAAGGTAATGAATTCCAGGTAGATCTGGTCACAATCATGACCATGTTACAAAGGTAATGAACTCCAGGTAGATCTGGTCACAATCATGACCATGTTACGAAGGTAATGAATTCCAGGTTGATCTGGTCACAATCATGACCATGTTACGAAAGTAATGAACTCCAGGTTGATCTGGTCACAATTATGACCATGTTACGAAGGTAATGAATCATCTACACGTTTATACATACCTGGAGTTTACCTGGAGAGAGTTCCGGGGGTAAACGCCCCCGCGGCCCGGTCTGTGACCAGGCCTCCTGGTGGATCAGAGCCTGATCAACCAGGCTGTTACTGCTGGCTGCACGCAAACTAACGTACGAGCCACAGCCCGGCTGATCAGGAACCGACTTTAGGTGCTTGTCCAGTGCCAGCTTGAAGACTGCCAGGGATCTGTTGGTAATCCCCCTTATGTGTGCTGGGAGGCAGTTGAACAGTCTCGGGCCGCTGACACTTATTGTATGGTCTCTTAACGTGCTAGTGACACCCTGCTTTTCATTGGGGGGATGTTGCATCGTCTGCCACGTCTTTTGCTTTCGTAGCGAGTGATTTTCGTGTGCAAGTTCGGTACTAGTTCCTCTAGGATTTTCCAGGTGTATATAATCGTGTATCTCTCCCGCCTGCGTTCCAGGGAATGGTTACAATCACGAACTAATTACAAAGTAATGAGCCATTCACACATCCACACTTAACCAACCTATTTTTATCGTCAACATCTGGGTTACTTTCCACATTTAGGTCAGTGATGAATAGTTATAGATGTACTAGAAGCCATTATTATGGCGTAAAGGATAAAAAGGCACTGGAATGATACACAAATAACCCGTATTATGTGTGTTATTTGTGTATTATTATGACGTAATATGCAAATTCCTATTTTCCTTTCTCGCAGTTCGTGTGTATGATGGTATTGAAGCATCTATTAGTCAGAGAGTCCAGTACCTCTTCACCTTCTACTGCAATTATGACCTCTTCATCTTCCCCTTCGATACGCAAGAGTGTAATATGCAACTTCGATTAGTAGGATCTCCGGGCTGCGAACCACAATGGAATATCGATAATCATAAGATTTCAGCCATAGGCGACGACTCGACGATATCCATGTATGGCGTATCCCATATTCGCTTCTACTACAACACTTCCTCCCGTGATATCATGAACTTCAGACTGCTATTCTTCAGGAGGTACGAAGCATATCTCCTGACCACGTTCGTGCCGTGCATCATCCTGTACTTGCTGTCGGAACTGACTCTTACTCACTTCCGCCTGGACGATTTCACTGACAGGATCACAGTAACACTCTCACTGCTGATCGTCATTACCTCTCTATTCTCCCAGGTCAATTCCACTCTTCCGAACTCCCCGACGCCGAAGTTCGTCGACTGGTTCTTCTTTTACTGCATCCTCAGGGTGAGCTTCATCTTCTTCCTACACAGCATCATTTGCAAGAGAGTGAGAGCCTGGAAAACCAAAGACTCTTCAGACATCATAGTGTTAGTGTCTGGCAGGAGAGTAGCATGGGTTCATGAGGACAAGAAACACGGACACAAAGCACACTTCAACATGGCAGAAGTCATCAACAATGCTGGAATCACCATCATCACCCTCATGGATGTAGTGGCACTATGCTTATTCATCGTGTGGGTCGTGCACGACAAACACGACAAGACGAAACGATTTCATGCCCTCAACGTCACCAGCAGATACCAGAGAGGGTAGAAATAAAACAATGATCTCATTGGAAATAGGTAACTTCATCTGACTTTTTTGGGCTATTCTAGCTAATTTACAGATATGTTACTATGCAAGACAAGCCACGGGGGATGGAAATCTTCAGCTCAAGATCTTTCCCACGTCTCCAAGCGTCATCAGGAGCTATGCAATGCTGCAAGAGTAGCAACAGGAAGAATGAGAGGAAGTTTTCTCAGAGTAAGGTAGCGTGGTGACGCCAGCCAGTTCCTCTCGGAAATGATCAGGGAAATTGCTTCCTCTCATTTAACATGTTGCTTCTCTTGCAACATTGCATAGCTAACAAAAAAGGCACAATACCGGGGCTGGAACGATACACAAATAACCCGCACATGGAAGAGAGGAGATTACGACGACGTTTCGGTCCGACTTGGACCATTTACAGAGTCAGACAGGGGTCCAAGTCGGACCGAAACGTCGTCGTAAGCTCCTTTCTTCTATGTGCGGGTTATTTGTGTAACATTGCATAGCTCCTGATGACGCATGGAGACATGTGAAAGATCTTGAGCTGAAGAATTCTATTCCCTGTGGTTTGTCTTGCATTAAGATCAACTGTCTGCGATTCTATTGCAATATGTTACTGTGTATGATACTTGTACTTATGTGTACCTGTGCCTAAATAAACTTAATATTATCACATATAGGTGAGTAAGACACATGTGTAATACCAAGAATATTCATTGACAGCAGATGTTTAGCGTTGAACATGTGTCTGGTAGCTAAAACTCTCGCTTCACACAGTGAGTGTCCGGGTTCGATTCCCAGCGAGAGTAGAAACATTGGGCGTGTTTCCTTAAGTCTGTGTTAACCCATCAGTAAAATGGGTACCTGGGTGTTAGTGGACTGGTGTGGGTCGCATCCTGGGACGAAACTGACCTAATTTGCGGGAAATGCTCAGCATAACAAGGGGCTTTCTATATAGTAGTATGTCATTGATGTCAACTATGGTCTGTATACCTTGTACATGTACTGGTAGAAATAAAGATTATTATTATTATTATTATTATTATTATTATTATTATTATTATTATTATTATTATTATTATTATTATTATTACTAACTTGTCGGTATTGTATATTATTTATAATGTGAATTACGAATGTAACCTAATCTCTAATGTTTTTTTGACTGAAATCATGTCTACCTAAATACTTCCTTAAAACTGTAACCAAATCTTCAGCTTTTTAATAGTGCATTAAGAATGTTACACATCTGACCACTTTGGGTGGATTAAGGGACTTGGCCACTCTGGGTGAGTTAATGGACCTGACCACTTTGGGTGTTTGAGAGACCTGGCCACTTTGGGTGGGTTAAGTGACCTGACCACTTTGGGTGAGTTAATGGACCTGACCACTTTGGGTGGGTTAAGGAACCTGACCACTTTGGGTGGGTTAAGGGACCTGACCACTTTGGGTGGGTTAAGAGACCTGACCACTTTGGGTGGGTTAAGGAACCTGACCACTTTGGGTGGGTTAAGGGACCTGACCACTTTGGGTGGGTTAAGAGACCTGACCACTTTGAGTGGGTTGAGAGACCTGACCACTTTGAGTGGGTTAAGAGACCTGACCACTTTGAGTGGGTTAAGAGACCTGACCACTTTGGGTGAGTTAATGGACCTGACCACTTTGAGTGGGTTAAGAGACCTGGCCACTTTGGGTGGGTTAAGAAACCTGACCACTTTGGGTGGGTTAAGAGACCTGACCACTTTGAGTGGGTTAAGAGACCTGGCCACTTTGATTGGGTTAAGAGACCTGACCACTTTGAGTGGGTTAAGAGACCTGGCCACTTTGAGTGGGTTAAGAGACCTGGCCACTTTGAGTGGGTTAAGAGACCTGGCCACTTTGAGTGGGTTAAGAGACCTGACCACTTTGAGTGGGTTAAGAGACCTGACCACTTTGAGTGGGTTAAGAGACCTGGCCACTTTGAGTGGGTTAAGAGACCTGGCCACTTTGGGTGGGTTAATGGACCTGGCCACATTGTGTTGGCAAGGGAGTGATTTTAGCGATATATTGATAAGTATATAATAATAATTTAGAAAGGGTTTAGCGCTTAAATTTGATTATAATAATAATTAAGAAACCATACCCCCGGCCGGGATTGAACTCACGGTCATAGAGTCTCAAAACTCCAGCCCGTCGCGTTAGCCACTAGACCAGCTAGTAATAATTAAGAAAAAATGATATACTTACCCTAGACAGCCACTGATGGCCGAGTTGGGGGCGTTGACCCCCGCAACATCCTGACAACATCCTCATTGCCCTACTGAAATCCCCCAAATCAAGCCCACGGATTTCACTCATTATTTCATGAAAATCCGCCCTATATGGTGAATTATGGTACGGATATATAGTCTATTTTCTTCCCTATCATATAAATTAGCAGCACATTGCAGATGTATATTGTATAAATGTATATTGATGGATATTGTACAGATTCCGGTTTCAAGGAATCTTTATGTGTCAGACTGCAAAGACTTTGTATAATCCATTTAACTTTTTTTGTGTCATCCTAGGTGATTTACATATATGTTACTATGTATGGTAATGTTACTTATGTGGTCCTGTACCTAAAATAAACTTACTATGACATACAGAGGAATTTTCTCATGAAAATTTAATGGGTAGATATGAGAAAATCATCAACATTTGTCAATATAACCCACAGTATTGTAGGATGCTATATATTGATATTTTAATGTTTAATAAATTTAGCTTTATTCGTTGACATTTCTTTAGAAAGCAAACATATTAATTACTTTAGAAATATTTAATATTCGACAAATTTATTTCCAAGAAAGAACTAAACTGAACTTTTCTTAAAAATAGATTATGAAGTGTTAAAATTATATCATATTTTAACAAATAACCTTTAAAAACTTTAATT